TATCCTATTTTTGAATATATAATTTGTATATTAGATGAGTAACAAGCGAAAGAAAATCTACAAACTTTTAGAATTGTTCCTCATTAACTATTTCATTCTACAGTCTTGTATTAAATTCTAGATAAAACCTATAGTTAAATATACTTTCTAGATTTAATTATAGAATATAGAATTAATCCTAGAAAATAATCGTGAGATTTATAAATACTTTATAGAACTTTTGTTTCAAAGATACTTACATTATAACGTTGTCAATAAAATTAAAAATATTCTACTAGATTAATGTTTATGTGAATAAATATATATGTTTTTTTAAATCGTAATTTAAATATATACTGCTTGTATCCTTATCTCCAATATTATATAATGGCCTAGAATTTATAAATTCAGAAATCTTGTTACGTGTTTGTTTTCTTTTTTTTTTTTCCTAGGGTATCGGGTGCTTGTATCAGTTACCACAGAAAAGAGGCTAAATGGGGTTTATTAACAGGAGAGAAATGATTCTAATGACTGAAAAAAAGATCTGATAAACTTGGATTTAGTCAATTATAATTTTAAACTACTTTTTTTTTATGGTGCAGCGATTAAGTTAAAGACTTAACAATTTCCTTCACTACTAATTTGTCTAAAGAAAATATGATAAATGGCTCATTGTTAGTATTTACAGAGTTTTGAAGAAGGCTGTTTCTACTTAAAATTTCGTTTCATCCAAACAATTTAATTGGAATTTCTTACTTGAAAAATACGAAAAGAGAAGTTTTAATTTCGAAGGGATAAAAAATTCGTTAATATACCGAAAGAATTTTTTTATAGAGAAAAACTTTTTTTTATTATTATTATTATTAAAGAAAAGCCAGGATATTTTTAGAAAAAAAAAAACATGTTAAAATTCACTTTAAGCTTTATTTTCGCATTAAATTTTATTGAAAGAAGTAAATTATCGTAATGTTAATTAGCATTAATGAAGAGAAACTTAATTACACTATTACTAAAGTTCGATTATCCTTTTAAACACGTAAAGTCACCAAAGAATAAAGGAAAATTCGGAGCCCCTCAAGGCCATACAAGTCACGTTGGAAGGCATAACAGCTTCAGTTATCAACCGATCAATCTTTCTCTGGGAGAACAGGGGAAAAGGGGTAGTAGCGTCCTATGTGGCTAAGGAAAGGCAATCACGGAGCTGTCTTTCGAAAGACGATATCTTCTGAAAAGGAAAAGCCTAGAAGAGGAAAAGTTGTCGATTGTCGTCCAAGACGATGACAACAAGAATCGAGATTAAAAAAGAGCAGCAATGATTGGATTGTGGAATCGGCATACATTCCCATCCTCTCTTTTCGGAAATACGTGATTCGTAAGAGAAACCGGAAATGGTCAGATGGAAAATGAAAGAATATCATTTTGTCTCCTTTTTTTTTTTTCTTTTTTAAATACGTGTTTTAGTATAGTCGTTCTAATACTGGATGCAGACACGATCGGAACGTTATCGTCATATTTTTTTTTTTAATTCTTTTTTCCTCTTTCCCTTTCTCGAACGTTTGTTGAATTTGGTTCTCGGTTATCAAGAAAACTAATGATGGTCAGTAAAATAGTATTGATCCAATAGACACACCCATATCATAAATGGGAGAAAGTTATCGGGTTTTTTTAGATACGTGAAGTGTGAGATAAGTTCCTATTTTTTTTCTCCCAACGTATTGTATAATCTCTGATAGGATCGATGTGTTTCAGGAATTAAAGTTTCACACCATTAAAAATGTTTATTTATTATTATTATTTTTTTTCAAAAGAGTGTTGATATACTTTACTTAATGACGAATTTACATATTAAAAAATAAAGACAAAGATGGAAATAAAAATGTAAAATAACAGTAAAAATCATTAAAGAAATTCTGATTTTAATATAATAAAACGATATAAATTTATCTAATGAATAAATTTCTTTAAGTTTTGAAAATAATATCGAATATTTCAACATTAATTTCAAAGTTCATGAATTTTCAAGTGCCAAATTTAATTTTCATCGAAACTTTAATGGTTAGAGATGTAAATTTATGTAAACGAAAGAAATTTATTAATAGGCCCTATCATAGATTTATTAATCATAATACAAAAAAAAAAATATATNGGAATTTCTTACTTGAAAAATACGAAAAGAGAAGTTTTAATTTCGAAGGGATAAAAAATTCGTTAATATACCGAAAGAATTTTTTTATAGAGAAAACTTTTTTTATTATTATTATTATTAAAGAAAAGCCAGGATATTTTTAGAAAAAAAAAACATGTTAAAATTTACTTTAATTCCGAATTACTTTACATTATTTAATAATTATGCATTTTAACTGATACGTCATAAGCTTCAATTTTACTATTTTAAGTTTCCAAGTACCTCTATTCTTCTATCTACAGTGAGCCGTAACCTTTTTCCGTTCTTCTTTAATGCCCCACTGCGTCTTTTTCTTTTAATTTATTCGCCTTATCTATTATCCTCTCAATTTTTTTGCTTCCTACCTTCCTATCTCCATTCGGTTTTCGAACTCGTTAATTATTTGCATCGCCTCTCTACCCTACCTTTCGCTTTCTGCACCATTCTCATATATTCTCATCCAATTTCCTTCCTGTAATCATTCGCAACTAACAGTTTCTACATTCTTTCTTCTCGTACCACTCAATTTTAGTACGATTTCCTCATTTCCACTCGCTATCAGTTTTTCTTAACCGTGTACCAATCTTTCGTCACCATACGAAAAATTTCACAGTCTCCTTATCTCCCGCATTAGTACCCCAACTTTTATCTTTCCAGAGATCCCACTTCTTCCATAATTCTTCCTTTATTTCCCTACTCCTTTCTGGATTCGAAAGGCTTCTAATCGAACTTCATCGCTGCAATTTACACATTACTTCACGAAATGAGTCACAAATAGGGTGTAACACATGGCGGAACCGAGTGGGGAAGCTGCAGCGCAAATGAGGAAGCTGAGGCGATAAAGATCAGAAAAGTGCAGCAGCCTGAAGTATAAGGATTGTGTAATCAGAGAGGAAGTTAAGGTTAACATTCATTTTGTCCTTAGTACTCCTTTCACGATCCTTTCTCATTATGTAACGTACCAATTTTTCTTCCTGGATAACAAACTTTACTACCTCGCTAGAATGATCTCTTCAAATTGAAGAATAACAATTATATAAATAAATATTCCGGATGGAAATAATCATTATTTAAATGATCACAAATTGACGAATTATTTAATCTTGTCCTTGAAGCAGAATAGTTAAACTATATTTATAAAGTGATGATCAACCATAAAACGAGCAAAACAAGCCGATGTGAGCCATTACATGCTTTGCAACATGAATCATTTTTGACATGAGTCGGTTCATTATTAAAATTAGATACGGCAGATCAACTTTTTCGGACCCGCTAGGATAATTAATTTTAATTGTTGTTTAAATAATCGCGTGTCATTTATAACATTACTAAAACAAAGTAATTGGAAAGAATTCTTAATTTTAATTATTTCACTAATATTATCTTAAATAAATTTAACGCATTAATACAGAGAATAAACGATAATTTGTCTTAAATTATATTTAAACATTTTTTTTTCTCTGAATTTATGAAGGATTCGAGATGATTTTGGTATTTAATGCTTTACATTTGGAGCCACTTCTCTATGTGATAATCTTACCCTATTTGGAAAATTTCCAGGGGAATGACGGGGGAAAGCTCAATCTATTAATCAGGAAAACAGGCGCCAAGAATTATTTCGTAGAAAACTATTTCTTCGCTATAACATCTATAAAGTTCGAAGAAAAGAAAGATACTTCTCCGTCTACAATTTTTTCATTACTTATCTATATACAGAAAGATGTTGTAAATGAGCTAATGTCAAGCCAAACAGTGTAAAAAATTTAAAAATATATGCTTAAAAACATTATTTTATATGCAAATGTAGAATTATAAGATAGCCTATATCATATCATTTCCTTAATATATTCATAACTTATTTGCAGTTGTATATATAGTTCAATACATTATTAATATATTCATAGTTACATGATTGCCCCGTTTTCAAATAATTTGCGCCTTAACAACCTGCATTGAATCCATGTAAGCCTATGCTCTTTAATACTCATTGGATAATAGTTCTCATATAGTATGTAGATTCGCCATTATTGTTCGATATAACAGCATAATCCTTTAAAATTATTGGTCTATACTTATTGTGACGTATCTACTAAACATCCCTTAAATAACTTTAAATGCTTCAGTTAAGACTTGGGTAAAATCAGAAAAAATTTAGTAGAATAATTCTACTTTTTCAAATGATATTTTAAGTATTTAAAGTAAATTAATTTGGATAAATTAATTTTGAAAAATAATGAAAATATTTCCAATATGTTATATATATTTGTTTTTTCTTTTTTTTTTTAACTAATGCATTTAACCTGTAGTGGAAAAGGTCTAAATTTGGTTTAAGGCCTTCGAGGCGCTTTCGCACCTTTTTATTTTTATTTTCTAAAGCGAATTTTTTCTCCTTTTCTTCAACAGTAAACAGTAAGAATTGGCAGAAAAAAGTAAGTGAGGAGGAGAAAAAAAAGGAAAAAATCATTTCTTCTGGTCCAAACGACCAAAGTTGGAAAAGTTGGGGTTAAGTGACGGGTCGGAAAAGATCTTACCGTTTTATCGATCTACAATGTGACAGTTCGACCTCGAAAGTAACCGAAAACTTTCTTGGAACAAAACCACCTTATTTCGTACTTTTAGATGGAAACGGGATATTTTCCCTTTCGTATTTCTTATTTTGCTTTTTATTTTAAGGATAACGGGAATCGGTTCTTGTAAAAAAAACTTAAAAAAAAAGAATATTGTTTCCTTTACAAGCCGAACGGACTATCGAAAACCATTTTTAAAACGAGGAAAAATCGTTTTTAATATCGAATACGCTAAACTTCTACTTAAAATTTATTTTAAACTTTCAATATGAAGTATAGATTCTACTCACCGTTTTTTCTGCTTTAAAAAGTTCGGAATACTTTATCTTCCTGTAAGAAGAAAAATAAATAAATACCATTAGTAAACTGAATCGATAGAGCATTCCATTTATAAATTATATAAATGCTTAATAGAAATATTTTAGATGTTATCTCAATTAAGAACTCTTTCGCCGTTATCTAAATTTCCCACTCCATTCGTTCTTAATCATGTAATCCAGCTTCCTCTCCGTTGATGTAATCCTTCACAGCTTTCCGCACTCGTTCCGCAATCCTCACCATTCCAACTACTCTTTGCTGATCCTAACCACTTCCCCATAATCCTCTACACTCCGCTTCTGCACTCTCTCCATAATCCTTTCCATTTCCATTCCGTATTCGTGCCATAAACTTTAGTATTCTAGTGGTTGAATGCCTTTCTATCCTTTCTTATCCCGTTCTAACCTTATCTTGCGCACACGTTCCTTAATCCTTATAAAATTCTAATTTCTATGATTCTATAGTTTTTGTCAAGTTAATACAGAATTAATTTTTAATTTATGATTTTTTTGCGTTATTTTTTAATAATAATAAACATGGTAAATGAAGTGAAGGTATTCCAGAAATCCATACATATTCTTCATAGCGTTAAGAAGTGAGATAAATTGCTGTAGTTGGAAGATATTAATTGCGTCAGCGCTCATAGGTATTTGCAACGATAGAAGGCGACGTCACATGGCTTAAAATGATGAAAGATCCAATTTTGGATGAAATTTCACTTGGCGTGAAATTAATTTCCAAATACAGAATATAGCTTCCGAACCGTATTAAATTTGGAAGCTTTCTATCAGTGCTTAATCATTTATAAATTACCTTGCTGTTCCCAAGTAAAATTTATACAAAACATCTTTTTTCTACATGTTGTAAATTATATCTATATCATTAAATAATAACGATAATGATGTTTTCAAATAATTGAAATCGGCTATAAAATAAGTTATAAATATTGAATGAAGTAAATTTTATATTTTAATAATAAAATATNTTAATAGATTTATTTAATTAACAAAAGGATAATCACGAAAGCACTTAAAATAATTTAATTTTGTAGAAATCCTGGTTATTTAGCTGTAAATGCATCTTATTCTCTTCCATTTTAACTCGTTTGAAGAATTAATAGCATTTGCAATATTTCTTTTATTTTCTTTTCGCATTTCTTCTTAATGATGTAAATTAGTGTATTATTGATTTTTTCTAAACGTAATATTTTTGTTTAAGATAAATTAAGATAGAATCTAAAGATGTGTACGCAGTGTCGGATTACCCGTTAGGCACTTGAGGCATCTAGGGCCTCACGTAATACCTGGTGGGACCACCGAAAACAAAGCAATTTTACCGTTGCAATTATTAATTGTATGTTATACAATTAATAATTATAGAATTATTTTATTGGCTACAATTAAATTTATGATGTCGTAAAATTATGTAGAGGGTCTTAATCTTCGACGTCTATGGGGCCCCAGAAGGTTTTAATCCGTCACTATGTTATGTGTGTGTATATACTCGTATGTTACTCCGAATCCGAAAAGGTCGCTATTTCGTGAAATAGGCTAATTTTGAATTGTCTAATTCGTGAAATTGCCATTTTATATTTTCCAAATAAGATATCGACTGTTTCGCTCATTATGGCTTTTTGTGAAATCGGCACATCAACTGCTTATTTCACTAATTACGCAAATCTTTGCCATTTCGCAAAATGAGCTACGTTTTCAAATTCTGCGTAATATATAAAGGAGATTGAGGCAATCCCTAACACCGGGTAAAGCCGGAAATACTGTAAATAAAAGGTTGGCAGCACTGTCGTGTTGTTTCATAATACCCATCAACTACGTAGTATTGACGTAAGTTGTTACGCTCTCTCATTTTCGTCCATATTTGTGCAGCTGAAAACTCGTTGTTTTTTGAAACATTTTACTCTTTCGGAAAGTGTTTATTACAAGTATCACATGTAAATGTGAATAATAATAATAACGTGTTTTGTACAATTTATTTACCATAGATCAATATTTAGATAGGGCAATGTCTCTCTTTCCAAAGCTGATTAGAATCAAACATGGCGATTTGGGGCAACCACGGATATCTTTACAGTGTCTTGAATTGCCTGGGGGTTCACGTTTTGATAAATTTACTCGTTTTACTCATAATATTCTACAATTTTAGGTCGTCATGGTCAAGAGCAGATCATGACCATGAAGCTGACCTCAACTAAAAATTGTAGTGATTTAATATTTCGGTTGTTCATTTTCCTTCCTTTTTTTTAATAAATTGATGAATCTATTGTATTTCTAATTTCTAACGAATATGTGTGAATAAATTTTATTTTATTTCTTTATTTCCTTTGCGAAATTTTGGCCACTTTCTAGCTATCACATCGTTATCCCGCGCCATAAGGGAATACAGGTCACTGAGTAGTTGCTTAGTTTTTTATTTTTTTGGGGGGAAAATTCAGGTTAAATTTTTTAATCTCCTGTACCGTATGATAGCCAAGAAATTGGAGTATCAATTGTTACAAAAGGATCCAAGTTTTCTCTAACAGGTCTCGTGGTACAGGCTAAAAAAAATCTTCTGTCCATTCACCCTTATACATCAATACACCCATTAGCATTGTACATGTACTGTACTGTACTGTACATATTAGGATCATCTCAGTTAAGAGATGATTGTAGTCTTTAATTATAAAATTTCATTGAATAAAATTATTATCTATTTAAACTAATTTCAAGATATTAAAAGTTTTTTATAAATGATATTCCTAAAGAAAGTTAATCAATTTTAGAATATTTACATGTAATTATCCTCGTTATATTGAGATTTCTATCTATTGTATAGGCCTATAGCTATAGAGAAAATTTTATTTCGAGTAAATAAAGGAGAAACAATTATAAATTTAATTAAAAATAGAAACTAATTAATATACTAAAAAATTATTTTTCAAGTCGTTCCAGTTTATTTTTCATATTAATTTACTGGTTTATATTTATATAAACGAACTAATAAAATATTGTTAAGTAATCCTAATATGTTTCTTATTGGTTAATTTAAAATTTCAATTTGTAAGAATTTCTTGTATTGAATAAAAATCGATTTTCACTACTGAATAAAAACGAAAGAAAATTAAATTTAAAAAAAAAAACCTGTAGGAAAATACTATAACATATAGTCGTATTTTCTCTAAGAAGAAATATTACATTATATACAAATAATATTTACCAAAATTTCTCTTTCTATTTTATTTATAATATTAAAATGTGATTTAAAAATCCCTTCTAATGCAAGATTAATAGGAAAAAATCGAAAAACATTAAAATTTTAAGGTAAATATATTTTGGATTATAAGAAAAACAGTAAATCTATTTATTTATTTAATAATATTTGTTTAAATTCTAAAGATTTTAAAGATTTTCCTGATTAAGTTGAAGAAAAAAACGAATATATGTGTAATAAAAAAAACAAATGTAAACATGTTTACTTATTGTAAACAATACTTCAGATCTCTTCAAATATCAATAGCCTACATTCCTACTGTTTTATCAAACCTCGATATAGCATCCTCCTAAATAGCGATACCCTCGTAAAGTGCCAATGAATGATTGTAGATGGACGATTTTTTTTTAAAAATAAATATTAAATAGAGAAACCATTATAAAAATGGACGATTTTTCAATACAAACGGCATTACTACGATCAAATCACTTGGCTTTCAAACACAGAAACTTCTGTGTAGACCTTATATATAATAAACTTACTTATTGTTTGAGGCTCTTCAGTTTAACGCCACGCTCGATTTAATGCCAATTACGAAGGAGAACAAATGGTGGCGTTAAGTCGAAATTTGGCATTATATGTTTAGTTATTTAGAAATTTGTGACAATTTTCAGAAATTAAAATATTTTTAATGCATTAAGAGTAAGTTAAATTACAAAAGTAAATATCATGCTTTATTCATTACATGTTCCTATTTAAATTAACAATAATTAAAATGAAACTTATAGCTCCAAGGTAATTATATAGATAATATAATTATTACTATTTTTATTACATTTAATAAGTTATTAAGAAATTAACTAATCAAATATTAACGTTGTTTACAAAGAAAGAATTATAATTAGAAATTTTTGAATTTTTATATGTAAAACAGTTTCTTATTGGTGTTTGAAGTTTCGTTTTTTATCATTTTTTTTTCTTTTGTAAAAACTTTTATTGAATAAATTAAATTTAAGAACAAAAATCTTTTAATTATTTTAATTAAATAAAAATTGAATTAAATGTTTAATTTTTATAATCATATTTTTTCTATAAAAAAGATATTAATTAAAACATTACCAATAATAATTTTAAACGAAATTTAAATGCTTATTAAATTCTTATTTTATTATTAAAAATTTTAATGTATATCCTATGATTTAAAAGATTTTTCTTTTTTAATTTATGAATTTAATTCATTCTTTTATATAATTTTAGCTGAATTACTGTTATATTCTCTCGCATATAATTCTTAATTTTTTTAAATATATTTATCCTTGTTACAATATATATCAATGCTTTAATAACTGCATCTATTTAAAAAATATATATACTTAAAACTTTTTTAGCCAATTAGCGTATACATAACGTTTAAAAATTCAAAATTAACCAATGACATGCTATGAAATAAAACAAAAAATAACTTGATTGGTCTATTAAAATTCCTTAGTATTTTTATTTCGAATATAAAAAAGATTTCATTTTTAGAATTAAATAAAAATATATATTTAAATAAACATTTTCTTGTTTAATTAATTTTAATAATTAACGATTAAAATTATCAATTCTAACCAATCAAGTTTTTCTCTTTGTTACACGTCACTATAAATGAATTTAAATTTTGTATAATTGGCATTGCTAATCTATTTTTATTCTTTTTTTTCCATTTTAATTATCTCATCCTGACTTGATTAATTAAACGATCATTATAATTAAAGACGAATGTATATCTTCTCATCGAGAAAAAGAATACAGACAATCATAAATGG